TCCAGTCATGAAAATACACTCATGTACAATCACTAACCATCGGCGCATATCTTTCAAGTAATGTCTTTATAGCAACGAGAGCATATGCCAGTCCAAAAGATATCGCATAAAACTTTTTAATGCCTCTGGTGAGTTTTTGAAAGCTATCTTAAAATATTTCCGCCAATTCTGGACTTATGAGAACCAACCAAAAGATCAATATTTGAGAATTATACGGCTCCATGAAACATATCAAATAGGTCATTCATACGAGGCAGTCGTTCCTTATTGCATATCATTACATAGTTAAACTATTAGTAGTCAATAATATTTCCAAGTACTTGAGCCTTTTTTTCACCTAGTATTTGTGTACAATTGCGTCCTATAAAGCACTTTTCAGTAGGTCCACCAACTATTTTCTTAGCTCACTTTACTACATTGATATCATATGATATGGAGGTATCAAAATGGGCATAGGTGTCAGGTGCCAAATCATTACAAAAATCTACTTCTCGTATGGGAGGTAATCGAAACAAATCCATAGAAAACACATCATTTAATTCTCTCACTAATAGCACGTTTCCAACTAGGTGTATGGTCTATTCCATGCCTTACCACATACCATTTCTTTTACCATAGATAGGAAGCATATGATTTTTTCTTCACTGGCTACTAAGTCACAACAATAAAAGATAAAACATTTCCTATTTTTGTAACGCCCATTCTCTTCTTCTTTTGAATACAATAGTTTCATTGATTCACAACTAAACTATCTTCTCATGACATTTGAGAGTATTCTGATAGGAAAATAACCCATTCACCCACAATGACTTATCAATTAAACCATATACATATGATCTGGTTAGTTATGTAATCCTTTCTCTAAATTCTATCTTGACCAGCATTGTATACATGTCGATCAAAAGAAAAATGCCCCACAAGAGTAGAAACCAATAAAAGTATTTCCCAATGTCCTGAGCATTCACAATTTCCAACTCTTTACTACAATTCCCATAAAAGGATTTCTTGGTTTTGGCCTTCTTGAATGAATGCTTGACTGCCCACTCATCACATTACATGTTCCAATCTTTTTAATAAAGTCAATTATCTCAAAATAGGTTAACATCTTCATATGTAGGGTTGTTTAAGGGACTAACCAACCTTCCAAAAAACCTCTAAATCATAAATACTTCATTAGGTAATAAGTAGGGATTACATCTAGTTAATCGAAAAATCTAGAGTCATATACCAGTTCAACACATTATTTGGAACAAACTTCTTAAAATCCTTAACAAGTTACACAGTTTCAGCTGTCAAGAAAGAAACCATCCATAAATAGCTTAGTAAATCGCCTCAAGTCGGTGTTCCCCTATGGGTATTTTGAACAGTACCATATTATACCATGTATCTTGTGATGTTCACCATCTGAATGTTGCCAGAGTTGCAATACTCTTGTTGGAACATGGTAGAGCTCGTAAGGCCTTAAGTAATTTACCCATGAATCTATACCAAAAATTCTCTAGGATCTGAGTTGTTAGAACCTACGAATCTTGGAGGTTTCATCTTTAGAAACTCCTAAGCATACTTTTTTTTTGAAAGTCTGAATCACTGTAGCTACTTGAAGATTCTTGGGACCTATAAGCTGCCTGACTCCATTCATTATGTCCATTAATATCTCTAACTCATTGCAGGAACAAACGTGTGTTAACAATATCATTCTCATATTGCTTAAGTGACAGAGTAGTGCTCTTTTCAAAAAGAGATATATTACATTTCACATATGTGCACAAAAATCCCTCCAATAAGCTCCCCTTAATTGGAAGAGACAAATGTTTACACGGTGACCATTGATTACTCCAAACCTTTGAACTATTCTTGTTATTGGGTGACTAGGTTCAAGATATATGATAGAAAGATAAACAATATTAGATTCATCTGGTTGACCCTATTAGTCTCACACACAAGGCTGAGTAAGAAAAAAAAGACAGACACATCTTATCACGTCCTCGCAGAATCACGATTATAGAAATGGCCGGCAACATAATCGTAATTGAGATTCTACTACTAACATGTGCTCCATAAGTCACAAGAATAACCTAGGGCTCTGATACCAACTTTGTCACGATCCAATTTAGAACCGTGACCGGCGCTAAGGGGAAGAACCCCAAAGCAAGCCTTAACCAGAAATCTACAAAAAATCGGGCACAGTTTCCTCTATTTTTGGGCCTATCTTGAAATTACCTGTATCAGAAATCAATAACGCAGTCAACCAATATCATCACTAATATAATCCACCTTATTCATCAATAGACTATTCGTAGAGTAAAAATACTAATTCCAACTTCAAAACATAAGAAGTCTCATACTAGACACAATTTTACAATACGAAAGAATACTCATAAGTTCTAATAAAAGGAATGACTATGGAGCGACTCTAAGAATTTCAAGAAATGTCTATAGCAACTAATATGCCTGTTGTCCACGCGAAAAAGTGCGGGGCACACCAGAAATTATCAACTCGTAAGCTCTAGATAAAGAAGTCCTTACCAATGTCACCTGCCTTCTCTGTAAAAACATTAGCGAGGAGTGAGACATTAGCTCAGTGAGTAATAACACTTAACCACAACCATTTTTAACGAGGGAAAAGTCAGAAAACATGCTAGTATGATAGTCAAAATGATAAAATCACTTCCTTTTCAGAAACGGTAACAATATTCAATCTTATGTGCCTCATATTAGCAAAATCAATGTAAATACTTAATAGTAAACTCAGAAAAAAAACATTTTCGTATCAAATCTTATAGCTGGGAGGTTTCCAATGATGAATCATGTAATCAGTGTGGCCTTCCCTTTAAGAAGTAACCAATAACAGTGAACTCCTCATAAAGGAGTTAAATATTCATATCAGTAGATCCCTACTCGAGGGATATCAGTAACAATATACTAGTTCTACCTTCCCACTAGCAAGGGCTTTACCAGTAATCAGTAGCTACAAGGTGCACCAGGTCTAACGAACCCGCCGTTAGCTACGGGATTCAACAAGGTCTACTCCCATTTATATTTTTCTTGTAATCAGTAGAAGCATTTCAAAATCGAACAAAGCATTTAAATTTTATCAAATCATATCCTTTCAAAGTTTAACAATCACCTGTCAAAATACTATTTCTCAAATAAGTGTAAAACCTTTTCAACAGTAATCATATCTTTTAAGCATGAGATCATCTCAAATAATCTTTTCGAAATCATATCAAGTAAAAGACTTGTCCCACATGCAAGTTCAAAACAGTCGGTAACACATTCACTTTATAAACCTTGTAAAAATTATGAAATTTGTGAAATACAAATTGTGGTAAGATTACTACTCACAGTACTCGTGTTGAAATACCAAACTTGTCACTTCAAGTAATCTGTACAACTTTCATTCGATCAACCTATATTCATATCATATAAATCTCGTGTTAAATCTCCTTAATAGAGCTATTTCATGAACTAATTTACAACACCCAATCCCCACGGTTACGGTCCACCCTCATTCGTCAACTCATATTTATTCACTAGTCTGTCAGTCGTTCAATTTCCAGCAACAGAGGCATAATTTTATATTTCTGTTTGAAACTTTTTCTAACTAATTCACTATTAAGCAATCACAATGTAACTCACTAGTGCGACTAGGAGTATCTTAGGGTTATTAGAATAAAAATCTTCCTTTGTCCATGGGTATTCTCATATCGAAATTAGTTGAAATTCATATTCGAATTATCAATGTCACATTAACCCAACCCGTGATAATACATATATAGGCATGTCAATGAACTGAAATAAAATACCTTGAAATCCATATTTATAACTGCATAGGTTCCAATTCTTCTTTTTCTTTTTTGTGATGACTATCTTCATGCTCCATCATAGACAGAGAAGAAAGGAGTGCATTTTCTTTTCTTTCTTCATTCATTCACTGGAGAACAAGAATAGCTTAACGTTTTTTATTTTTTGGTATGCAGGATCAGTTGCAACGGTTTCACATGAATGTGAATCAAGAGATTGGCTTGAAAGGCTTTCCAACTAGCCATAGTACCATTGCGAGTTGTCTCCAAGAATAGCTCAACGTTTTTTATTTTTTTTTCACTTACTGTTGCGTAAATTGGAGGGGGATGCTGCACAGGTGTAGCAGTAATGAAGCCCCCTTTTTAAAAAAAATTATATTTGCACGGGAGATGGGGCTAAAGCCCATTCCCCTTCCTTTTGTTTTTCACTAAAGCTAATGACTAAATTACCCTAATTTAATAATAAGGTTTAATCATAGGGTATTCCAGTGCAATCATGTAAGGGATACATGGGAGAGTTGGCAAAATAGCCACTCTTCAAATTTAATTGAACATTAAGACAAAAGTCTTGAATAATTTGTGGTATACCCACTATTAATGACATCATCCACATGCCCTAATTGGCTCTTACAAAAGACCTCACTAAGTTTTCATATCTCTACTTTGGTCCCCCTTCTTTTCCAACTATTTTGGAATAATATATATCTATTTGCATTTGTTACAAATTATATTAGAAAAAAAGAAAAAAAGCATAACAAACAGGAAAGAAGAGTAGCTCGTTTTGCTGCTGTCAAAACTGACTATTCTGGTTAGTTTTCCGGCCAAAATATTCATTTTAAAGGTAAAATCATCATCATCTCATACTCCATGATCATGTTTACTCCATTTCCTTTCAAAAACCAAGCTTCAAAATATTTTTTCCGTCATTTTAGAAATTTGAGAAATCTTCCATAATAAACACTTGATAGTATTATAGATACATTTTAGTAGTTTAAAGCATTAAAAATTTGTTTCACCATTGCAGGAGCTACATTTTGAACCACGATCTCATTCAGGCGTGTTTCTTTATGGATGTCAGACTTCATCAATCATTAACGACTGATACTGTAATCTAGTATATATGTTTATAATGGTTGTAACTGAATTTGTTGTTGCTGGTGGTGATTATATGGGAGTATGGGAGGAGACTCTCAAAAGATGGAATTGGAAATCTTTAGTAAGACGACAGAGTCCATTGTGTTGCGTCGCAATGGTTCATATGACGATATGATTGCAACCGTAATTGAGGCCGATGAGTTAACTTGCGAGCCAAATGACTTGGTGATTAGCTATCAAATGAATGTGAGGAGAAAAATACATCCCACATTCATAAAAAATGATAGGAACGTGAGCTTGTACATGTTAGATATTGGTATTGATGGCTCTAGGCCTACATTGAGGATAAACGTTAATGTGAGGCCTCCAATTGAACCAACGAATTTATTTAACGACGATAATGATTCGATTGGAAATGAAACATTGGATTATCATTCAAAGGAGAGCTTAGGTGATCATTCAAATGGGAGTTTGGGTGATCATTCGATGAATATACATGATGATCCAACTAATGTGGAAAATCAGCCAGTAGATGCGGAAGATCCCGAACCCGAATGTTGTGAAGAAATGCAGGTACAAAAGGAATTGGGATCATAATCTGACCATTCCTTCTCCGATGGAACTAATTTATGTATAAAACAAAGTTTTAGTAATAAGAATGAGTTGCAATTGTTATTAGCCGAAGCGGCGGCATAAAAGTCTTTTGATTTTGCTACTGTGAAAAGTAGTACTAAATACTTAAAGGTGAAATGTGTATCTCACAATTGTGCACGGATGTTGCAGGCGAGGAAATATGAGTGCTTAGATATATTTCATATCTATAAGTACATTGGCGAACATAGTTGTGGCGTTGAACATGCCAACAGTAGCCATAGAAAATTTTCAATCAAAGTGATTGCTTCACTTTGTGTAAATATGTATTGTGATGGCAAGGGTCCAAATGTTAAAGAGATTCAAAGAGCTATTTTTAATTCTTTTCATTGTAGTCCAAGCTATTGGAAATGTTGGAAGGGTGGTGTGGTTGCTAAGGAAATGGTCCGAGGGACAGCGGAGAACAAATATTCATTTTTACCGACTTTTTCTTACATGTTCGAGACACTTTATGTTGGTTCTAGTTATTGTCTCATGGTAAACACGGATAGTCATAGGTTCATGTATTATTTCTTGGCCTTTGGTGCTTGCATTAAGGGATTTGCCCACATGAGAAAGGTAATTGCGGTTGATGACACTCATTTACATGGTAGATACGAGGGCGTGTTGTTGAGCGTTGTTGCACAAGATATGGAGAATCATGTTTATCTGATTACCTTTTGTGTCGTGGACAAAGAGAATGATGCATCTTGGACATTCTTATTTGAGAAATTGAAGGAGATTGTGGTCGATGAACCAAATTTGTGTTTTATCTCTGATAGACACAAGAGTATCGCCAACGGTATTGTGAACGTTTACAATCATGCTCACCACAAATATTGTATGAGGCACCTCGATGAAAATCTCCGCGTAAATCATCATTATGGAGATTACCTTTATCTTTACTACAATGCGGCAAAGGCTTATTCCTTGGAGGAGTTTGACAAATATTTTGTAGAATTCAAGAACAAATGCCCCACTGCAGCCGTCGTCCTTGAGCATGATATTGGTTTTGAGAAGTGGAGTAGGGCACATTTTCCTGGCAATAGATATGATGTTATGACCACAAATATCGCCGAGTCACTCAATGCTATGTTAATAGACGAAAGAGAGTATCCCGTGGCATTTATATTTAATTCGATTGCTAAGAGGTTAGGAAAATTGTTTAGGGAGAGGAATGCATATATACTCAAATCAATGGGTAATCAAATGGTGTCGGCTGCCAAAGAATCGCAAGAAAAAAATGATCGAGGGCGACTCCTTGTATGTGCAGAATGTAACTGGGGACACAATCAATTTACAGTGTTCGGTGCGGGTGTTACTGCCTATGTGGACATACTGGAAAAATCATGTTCATGTAGGGAATATGACTTGATCAAGATACCTTGTGCTCACACAATGGCAACTTTGCGATCGAAGCATGGCAATGAGTATTGTATGAGCATCTATGAGTACTCTTCACCTTTGTATAAAGTTGAAGCATACCTTCTTGCATACTTGGATTCTATTAATGTTATCCCTTTCGAGTCGAAATGGTGTGTTCCAGAAGAATTGCTTAGTGTGAAGATTCTTCCACCTCTTGTCGATACCAAGCTTGGAAGAAAAAGAAGAAAATGTGTCAAAGGCATCGGTGAGAATTTCAAGAGCAAGAGAAGGAATAAATGTTCAATTTGTAAGAGAACCGGACACAAGAGAACTACATGTGTGAACAACAACAAATCGTAAACAAGCTTGATTGAATTTGTTTTTGTAATCAAGCTATTGTTTTTTTTTAGCTACTGTAATCAAGCCACTGCCAACATTTTGGTCAATTTATTGTCATCTATTATCGTAATTACTCATGATCCAATATAGATCAATCAAAAGATGACATACATTTTGTACACTATCTATTAAGCTGTGTATTATTAATATATGAAAATTCATGGTATTTGTAATGAATTAGAATATGATTAAGAATTAGAATTAGAATGATATTTGCGACTATTTTTAATGCACCAAATCAAACAATGCTTAGGAAATAATCTAAGTATAACTAATTCAACTATAACTAATACAAGCATTATTTGCATAAACACTCTACCAAACGAATCCTTAATGAATTGTCAAAAATATAGATGTTACCATTAAAAAAAGTAGCAATTTGAACTTTTTTTACCGTTGTAAAATTTGTATATCTAAATATTTACTGGTTATCAAAATATATAGACCCTTTATACAATAGATACATCTATATGTGTAAAGTGTATGTATGACATATGAGATTTACATTCTGACATTAGTAAGGTATATTCGGGTTTATATCTATGTTAATGCATTGTCGATACTTCACCAACTAGAAACTGACACTTATATATAGATCAAAACTAGTAGAATTTAAAAAAGACAGCAATTAATTAATAATAAATTATATATTGAAATTTATCCAATTAAATAAGTTTAAACAAGTCATATGATCATGTAAGAGTCCACATAAATTGGGTGTGGTGATTAGTGATGTACGAGGAAGAGTTGTGATTATACAATCAACATCCTTAGAACAATGTTTGAGAAAACATAAGTATGTTGTGAGGATGGCACTTGTTCAACCACACATTGTTGATTGCCACCCCAATTTATATGGACTCATACATGATCACATGCTTATGTTGTAAAGATATTGATTGTATAACCACACATAACTATTCCTCATTCATACTTGTGCTTTCTTCACACATTAGTTTGAAGATGTTGATTGTATAACTACAACTCTTTCTCATACATCATTTATCTCCACTCCCAATGTATGTGGAACTTTACATTACTTGTTTAAACTTATTTAATTTAATAAATTTCAATAATATTGTTTATTATTAGTTAATCATTCTCCCTTTTAAATTAAACTAGCTACAATCTATATTTAAGCGTCATACTCTAGTAGGTGCAGTATAGATCATTTATGGATCATGATATCAACCCGTATATACCTTATTAGTGTTGAAGTGTAGATGTCGTTGGTACAATCTAAACCAAGCACATGAAAAAATATCGATTGTCTTAATTATCTATATATTTTTACCAACAGTGACAATACTCAATTATCCAAGTTTTACAACGGTAACAAAGTACAAATTGTTACTTTTCAATGGTAACATTTGCTTTTTTTAGTGTATAAAAGAAGAATTCATGAACTCTTCCATCCTATTCTATTTTATAATACTTAAACATCTCTTTTTATTATTTCTCAAGCATCTCAAACATCCAATGCAAAAAAATCTTACGTTTGTCGTTGTGCTAATTTAGCTATGTTGAAGACATCACACACCGATACAAACCCAGGTCGACAATTCTTTAACTGTGCAATTGGTGCATGCTCTTTTTTTAAGTGGCTTGAAAATGATTCATCAACGAGCAACCCATCAAAATTGAGTCCGGAACTCGAGACATCAAATTTTTAAGGCGTTACAAAATTTCAAATATTAGAAAGGCTTCGAAACTCCGAGGAAAATAGGGATTTGCTATTGAGTTTATTCAAAGAGGCCGAAGAGCAGAGAGATCACTTTAAAGGATTGCTAAAAGACACAGAAAAAGATAGGGATCAACTAAAACAAAAGTTGATATTGCCTGAAAAAAATGAGAAAGGCCTAAAAATTATATTGTATGGTTTGTTGTTAGTGGTTGCTTTTTGGAAATGTGAAACAAGAATGAAGTAGTACAATCTTATATCTTTTACTCATGTAGTAGTACAATCTATTAATAAAATGAAGTCTTTTTGGAAATGGTAAGACAATGCATTATATATACAATTTAAAGTCCAGAACTGGCAACAATATCCATCAAAACAAAAATAACATTTACATGATCCAACTGTCTTAATCATCAACCACCAAAAACCAACCATTTAAAAAACCAACTGTCTTAATCATCTACCCACTTCAAAAACCAATTGTCTTAATATTCAACCACCAAAAATTAATTATCTTAAAAACCAATTGTCTTATCATCAACACAAAAACCAACCATTTCAAAAACCAATTGTCTTAATAAACCAATATCACAAATACCTTACTCATCACCATTTAGCTCACCATTGAGCTCCATAACAATACCCATCACGTCCATTGAATTTTCATCACTGCCTTCATCTACTTTCTCTTCCAGCTTCTCATGTTCTTTTTCTTCTTCCTACAATTCAATCCGCTCCTCTTCTTTTTCTTGTTCTTTGTTCTCTTCGATCTCCTCCTCTTCTTTTTGTTCTTATTCCTTCTCTTTGATTTGCTTCTCTTCTTTGTTCTCTTCGATCTGCTCCTCTTCTTTTTTCTTCTCTTCTAACTTCTCTTCAATTTCTTCTTCGTTCTCTTCCAGTTTCTCCTTCTCTCTTTCTTCATCTTTTTCTGCCATCTTCTCCTTTTCTTGTTCATTAACTTCTTCTGCAAAGTACTCATCAACTGTAGCAAGATCTTCATCGACTATTGCTAATGGAAGTATTTAATCAACATCAACTGCATCACCATCTTTATCAGCTGTTGGTGCTGTATAGTCTTCATTAACTGCTGCAAGATTAGTGGTTTAACATTCTTACAAATAAATTATTTCATACAAATAGTATATAAATTAGTCTACCTTTATTTTTCTTGTTCTTTTAAGCTCTCCTCAATTTCTCATCTCGTATGAAAGCAACAAATTCCATCATTGATAGTTCAAGGGATGCAACATGCTCACACAAATTATCATCTTTATTTTTCTATCCACTCGAAACAGAATTCTCACAAGGTTGGTTGGAATTGTTCTTACCCAATATTTCATCCTCCTCGTTCTCTACTGCAGAAGTGAGGATAGTGACACCTTTCAAATTGGCCTTTAAGGCATCAATAATTGTGTCCTTCACTTTATCCGTATATGACTTTAATGTTGCCATATAATTTTTTTTGTCTCACGGACAGTAGGTATGAGGTATGGATGCACAACCTAAAAAAAAATAAATATAAATAGTACAAGACCTTCACTAATTTACAAATATTGCTAGATAATAATAAATAAGTTTATACCTTTGTACTTCTCCCTTTGTACTTAAATGGATCACCTTTGACAATGTAATCGCTCTTTGCCGTGTGCCATCTAAGTAAACGGGGAATTGGCAGTGGAGAATTCAAGGACTTCTTTGCATAATTACCAAGATGAGGAAAAGCCTCATATATCCAAACCTGAAATTAATAAAATAACAAATAAATAAACAGACACTATGAAATACTATATAAATATATAAGAGTTTAATATTAATCAAGTCCATAATTGATAAAAATTAGGAAAGCCATACAAAGAATACGATACATTCCCTCTTTCCTTGTACACTTCACTTTGTTTCTTCAAATTAATTTTGTTTTTCAACTACTTCACTGTTAAATCAAAACACTCTTTTCCCTATGGATAACTCTTGAAAAAATCTAAATCATCGACCATCTTAATGTGGTTTGAATCCACAATCTTAGATCGATCGTGGGCAAGCAACATCGAGTGGACAAACCAAACTAAAGAGCACTTCAACTTCTGCTCCTTATTCAATCTGGTACCCTTAATTAAACTCATCAACTTTGTACCACTGCTATTCTTATTCTTGTTACTTTATAGTAAAATTTCTCACCTTTCTGTAGCACTTTTTTTATTTTTGCATCATGGGGTATGCTGTGCAATTCAGCCCCGTAATCAATGCAAACTCTTTTAAACCAAAACAAGCAGGCTTATCATTTACACAAAACCACATCTCATGCAATTTTTTATCATTTTTGACACGATGCAACAACATGTAATGGACCATCTGTCCATTGAACTTGTAATATTCCTTAAATGTCCAAAACAAATACCTTTAAAGTCATTATAAATTTTTCCTTGAAGTAAAATATTTCTAAAATCATGATAAAGAGTGATTCTTGCTCTCACAGAAATTTTCGCTGGAAAAGATCCTAACTCATCCATACATGTAGTTAGATTATAGGACTTACCAGAGATTTCTCTTGCACAAGTTGGCAAGGACAGAGGATCATCATCCTCATCTCCAGTATCTCGGCTATCTCTACTAGTCTACTCATCTCCACTGTCAGTGTTTTCTTCACTAGACTCAACATCATCAGTAGATTGGGCACTACTGTCCTCATAGTTATCGATTTCATCCATAGTATCAGAATCCGAGTTAGACTTGGGTTCTTCACCTACAATTTTTTTCTTTTTTGAAGATCTTGAAACTTTTTCTGCCTTTCTTTTCTTGTTTTTAGAAGGCTTATGAACAGATCGTTTAACAATCTCACCTCTAGTTTTAGCCATAATCAGAGTAAACCTCCAATAAAACATGTAAAATAAATAGCAGATCCAACAGAAATCAACAATGCGATTGACAGAAACGCCGCTAAAGTCAATCAAAGTTTAGGCGATCTAACAAAAGAGGGCAATGAAAAATACTACACTTCGTGTAACAACAAATGTAATGAGAAAAAAAAAGACCAGCAAAAGCAAACAAATACAACGGAGAAAAACAACAATCCACAACAAAAGCCAAAATTTCAAAATCAATAGGCGAGATAAACATAATGTTTTTTTAAAAAATAAGCAACCAAATAGGGTCAAATATTTATGTCAAACAAAAACACATTAGAGACCACAAATATTCATGGAATACAGTGAAAAAATTTCATCCTAAACAAGAACATGAAGAAAAACTGTCCAAAAAAAGAGTTCATTGAATCATTACACTA